CGGCCGCCAAAATTGTGATGGTGGCAGTTCGGGGATAACATCATCCAATTTGAAGGAATACACTTCAGGCCGGGAATGATACTCGTCGATTGTGCAAATGAGGAGACAGCTGAATGGCTGATGAAGGGAGATGACATTCCTAAGCCTTGTGTAATCACTGTCTTCGTCCCCTGAAGCGGGGGCCAAGCCTGGGAAAAAACGCTGGGCATCTTCCAGGACCAAAACGGGGGAATACACACCCGGGTCTGGAAGGTGATGGGGCAAAGAGAGGACGGTGGTGGACAGGTTCTCCGAATAGGGATGGATAACTCTTCTGCGAAAGTCACATTCTTCGGTACGGTCACATTCTGGGGTTGGTGGAATCCTCGGCGGCCCGGTAGAATCGCCACGGAAGTTATATGATCCCAAAAAGGAATCAGCGGACGAGGGGGGTCTTTCCGAGGGATATAAAACCCCGGATGAGGGGCGTCCCCCTTCATTAACGACGGAGGAGACGGTGCAGTACCTTCTAAGTCTTAGGGAGTCCTTCCCAGAAAATGACGTCCCGATGGCAGTGGAAGATCACCCTGACAGTCAACTCAACAAATGAGGGACGAAGGCACCATCATACACGGGGCACATCAAAGGACTGTCAATTAGGGATGCGCAGGTAGTATGGGTTTATGACCAACCCAGGACCTGCATTCTAATTAGAAAAAATATTAACTTTATTTTACTTTCAGAGTACATGACAAGGACCTCAAGGCCTGTCAAGGCCCGCATTAATGTTGGGGGCAAGGACTTGGAGATAGTGCTCGCATCACCGTACTTTCCGGGAGATGGAGCATCCCCTCCGCCACCGGAAGTACGGAGGCTTCTGGAGCAGTGTAATAGGAAGAGGTGGCCACTAATCATGGGTTGTGATGCGAATGCGCATCACGTGGCATGGGAGAGCAGCGACACCAATACTAGAGGTGAGTTCTTATTAGAATTTGTAGTTAAAGATAACCTAGAAATATTTAATGTAGGGAATGCCCCAACTAGGGTTAGAGAGGAGGTACTGGATATCACATTCGGCAGTCCGAATGTGGGGTTTCTGGTACGCGACTGGAAGGTATCGGAGGAGGTTTCTATGTCAGATACTAGAATCATCCGGTTTTGTCTGGGTGGGTTGATTGAGGAGAAATCTTCCTTCAGAAATCCGAGGCGGACAAACTGGGATGGATACAGAAGGGACCTGGAGGCAAAACTGTTGGGGGCTTCGGTTAGAACTGTGGCCAGGCATCCCTGGTGTTGGAAAGGGCTGTGGAGGAAATCGGGGGAATTATGGTCGAGGCTTTTGAATCGAACTGCCTCATTAGTGTGCCAAGGTATTTCACAGATGCACCTTGGTGGACTCCGCGATTGGAAAACCTGAAGGTCGTTGTTCGCAGGCTTTTCAATAAAGCTAAGCAAGAAGGTACTTGGGAGGAGTACAAGATGAACTTGACAGCCTACAGCAAGGAGATCCGCAGGGCTAAGCGCAGAAGCTTTAGATCATTCTGCGGGAGCATAGCGGAGACGCCGGCTAGAGCCCTGGCTGGAGACAGGGTGTCAGTGACTGCTTCTATAAGGAGGCCGGATGGCGGTTACACGAAGAACGAGGAGCAAAGGGCTCTTCTTTTCTTGGAGGCGCATTTCCCCGGCAGTACTCCGTATGTCGGATCCGTGGCGTGGGAATGCAGGACACCACGTACTGAGGATTGGCGGAGAGCTGCGCGCATAATTACGGAGGAAAGGATAAGGTGGGCTGTTGGCACTTTCCAGCTCTTCAAGGCGTCGGGAGTGGATGGGATAGCACCAGCCCTTCTGCATTCGGGGGCTGGATCCAATTATGCCGTTCTTAATAAGAATATTTAGGAGTACCTTGGCTGTCGGATACATTCCCGAGTCCTGGCGGGTGGCTAGGGTTGTCTTTATTCCCAAAGTGGGAAGAAGGGAATGGTGCCCAAGTCATTCAGACCGATTAGCCTCACTTCGTTCTTATTGAAGACGATGGAGAAAATAGTTGATAACCAGGTCCGGGTGGCGGTGCCGCTCTGTTTCGCTTTGCCAGTACCCTAGAAAGCACAATAGAGCAGGGAGAGGTGGCGCTATGCGCGTTCCTGGATATCGAGGGGGCCTTCGACAACACTTCTCATGAGGCGATTGCGGGCGCCCTGAGGCATAGGGACGTGAATGATGGCGCCTCTCTATGGATGTCCAATATGTTGGCTACGAGAGTAGCAGAGACTGCTGTGGGGCAGAGCACCCTAAGAATGTACGTGGCCAGGGGATGCCCACAGGGTGCGGTTCTGTCCGCGCTAATGTGGAGTTTGGTGGTGGATGAACTCCTTGATGAGCTGCTTTGTCAGGGAATTGGTGTCCAAGCTTATGCCGATGATATAGTCATCATGGCTAGAGGTAAGTTTGAGGGAACTCTTTGTGATATAGTCCAAAGGGGATTATGGGTGGCCCGGGTCTGGTGCGATACTGTGGGCCTCAGGATTAACCCTAAGAAGACGGCCCTGGTGCCTTTCACTAGGAGAAGAAAGCTGGAGCATCTGCGCACAATATACGTGTGCGGAGCGGCTGTAGAGAGAAAATCGGAGGTCAAATACTTAGGAGTGGTGTTTGATTCCAAGCTTCTTTGGCGAAGTCACGAGGAAGCTTTGTGTTCACGGGCAAAGCGGTCAATTATCGCAGCGAAGGCTGCCATTTTCAGGTTGGGGAGAAATGGAGCCGGAATAATCGGTGTGGGAGATCGGGGGCGGAAGTATTTAGGCCAAGGACCATATTCTCCGAACCTATGGGAACTTTTCCGAGTATGTTTTGGGCTGAGTTGCACGCCATTGCAATGTGCGTGCGGTTCAGCCTGGGAAGGGGCTATCGGGGACAAGAAATAATGATTATGTCGGATAGCCGGGCTGCGATCGGAGCGCTGAACTCGTTTTCAGTATCCTCCGCGGCAGTATGGGGCTGTCTTGAGAAGCCGAATGAGTTTGGCAGATGCAACGGGGTCATATTGTGTTGGGTGCCGGGACATGTGGGCGTGGAAGGAAATGAGGCCGCTGATGCGCTTGCAAGGAAGGGGACAAACACACCTCTTTTTGGGCCGAAGCCCTTCTGCGGAATCGGACCACATACTATTCGTTGGTAATTAAGGAAGAAATCAGAAAGAAGGCGGTCGGAGTGCTGGAGAAGTCTTCCGGGGCTGCGGCAAGCCAAGGAGCTCCTGGAAAATTATGACCAGAAGCGATTTAAGAAAATTATAGTGATGGGCAAGAACCAGGTGAGAGTCCTCACCGGCATTTTGACGGGTCACTGCAGACTTAGGAGACACCTCAGTCGGCTGGTCCTGGAAAATGAGGATACTTGCAGATTCTGTGGGGAGTATGAAGAGACCTCGGTGCACCTCCTGGGGGAGTGTGATTCTCTTGCTCGTAGGAAGGGGTAGGTGCTGGGAGGCTTTGCTCTAACGGTGGCGGAGTTACGGCCTTCTGGTTCTCACAAGTTGCTTGAGTTCATCAGGAGGGTGGGTCTCGAGCGTGTGGTGTAGGGCATGCCCCGCACTCGGATAGGAGCGCACAATAGATCCTTATACGTGGTCGCGGTGCACTGTTGCCCCCGTTATACAAATCTACAAATCTACAATATATATAACTGATCCGGATGCCTTGGAAGCTTTGACAAAACGAGGTTATGTAGCATATAGCTGCAGTATTTCAAAGAAGCATGATATGCACTTAAACAGAATTTAAGAGTTCAAAGCCCTATAGAACAGAACCGAGGCTTCATGTCATAAAATAACTTATACTTGTAACAATTTTCTTGTCATAAAATAACTTATACTTGTAATTGATGAACAATATGTTCATCATACAGAAACTTTACTGTTAAATCAGAAATAATTTTTATTTTCATAAAACTATTTATAATTTTAAACAAACACAGAAATGTGTGTGAACATATTTTCTCAAATTCACTAAATTCTTATGTTATTTTCTCACATGTTTTGGAATCAATCGCAAAAAAAAAATTTTATTTGCTAAAGTGTTTATTTTGATATTTAAAAAAGGAACATTAAAATATTTATCGGTTCAGTATTAGAAATTTGTTAGTGCCTTCCCGAATGACTATATATAGTAAGCATTATTTTGAATATACTGCATATTGATGGTTAGGTAAACAAACAAAAGGAGATGATTTTGATTTTTATGATGACAACATCTTAGTTATCATATATAAACTTTATTGTTTTAAAAGAATAAGAGGAAGACCGCGAAAATTACATTTTTTGTTTTTATTAAACATCCTTTCTACTATATATTTTGTTTGTAAATTGGTAAAATAAGGAAAATACTTAGACTACTCTTTCATGTGCACAAGAGAATTGAATGAGCATATTTTTTAACTCTACGAGCATTCAATAATAATTATTTTCAAAACGCCGTGGCAGGAATATTATCATCTGCGTTATTCTATCCTTTTTTAAGTACTCAGTAAACAGAACCTTTTGCTTTTGCACATTTAAATTGACTGATCCCTACACTATAGCACAAACTCATAATATTTTAATAACAAAAATAAAATTTTACCCGATAAGGGTTAATATTCGTTAAAAGCATCAATGAAGTCAAGAGTTTTTTGTACAAAAAAAATTTTTTTTTTTATAATTTTAAATTATGAGAAATTTTTTCAAATTTTTAAAACTTAATGTTTAGGAAATCTTAATATATAGGCGATACCTTTAATATCCTTTTGTTAATAGGTTTACAAAAATTTTAAACGGTGGCAAATATTTTTAATTTTTTTTATTTCTAAATTTCTTTATTTAGCTAGAATACACTCAAAAGAATGTTAATAAGTCAAGGTCAATAATATGGAATGTTGCAAACCTTATTGGAATATTTCTTACTGTTAAATCGTAGGTACAGAGTTTGAATAATTTTAAAAAATTGTATTTTAAATTTCAATAATAATGAATTTGTTAAATAACTTACTCTTTATGTTCAGCAGCTCTGTCTCTTTGTCGCCTATTCTTAAACCAATTGGAAACCTGTAAAAGAAAGTAAAATTCACATTAAAATTTCACAAAGGAATATTATTTGAAACTTACTTGAGTTGTAGTTAATCCTGTAGCCTCTGCTAATTCACGTTTCTCTCTAGGTGATGGATATGGATTATGTCCATACCAATCTCTTAGAACTGATCTAGATTTTTCCTATATAGAAAAATTAAAAACAAATATATTAGTTATGTTGAAAGGAAAATTGACTAAGTTTGGACATATCATATGATTTTTAATGATTTTAAATGACGTTTAATGCTTTTTTTTTAATTTTTATAATTTTTTTTAGCAAATATGCAGAAATATCATCGAAGACATTTAAATTCAAATTTGTTTGTATCAAATTAATGGCAGTATAAAAGGAGTTCAATGCCCAATCAAACATGTTGCAATATGTTTGATATGATTTGCAATTTTCATACTTACGGAGAACAGAAAAAAATTAAATATGTAAAGTTTAACATCATCAAAAAGAAAACCAAATTAAGACCTGCTTATAATAAAGTTTATAATGTATAATAGCAATTTAGCACTCATTCAAACATGTTGCAATACGTTTCCTACAATTTCTATGAATAATATATAAGATGTGCAAAATGTAATAACACGTATTCGCAATTTACAAATGTAATAAAAACGATCATGTACAGGTAATGCAAGTGTACCAAATTAATTTTTTTATCTTAGAATTAAAATGTAGACCTAATGTAAATGAACAATTTTTCAGGATTAAAAGTATCAATCATCAAGAATTTACGGAACATGTGTAAAAAAACATTTGTTATTTTATTTTTGTTTCTAAGTCATTTACAAACGGAATTTTTAATTTTTCATAAAATTAATAAATACTATCATATTTTTTTTTTTAGATATTTTCTAGATGAAAATTGTTGTTCACTATGAAAAAGTATGTTTCTTCGAACATAAAGTTCACATAACCTATATACATACGTGTATGTATCATGTGTGTATGTAGATGTGTATGTTTTCATCCATATAATTAATACTTTAAATACACTAAATGAAATTGTCATCATTAATGTTAAAAAAAAAATTCTTAATTTGCCATTTTGTTTTTATTTTTATAGCAATATTTTTAATAGACTTCCGAGCATTTTAATGTCAAAACAACATTTTATGATTGTATATAAAAGATGTACATACATTAATGTAAACCAGATGGTTTTAAATGAATTATTTTGTATATTAATTTGAAGTACGACAAAGTCTATGATTACACCATTATCATAATAAAGAAATAATTTCAAATTTAATTTAAAAAAAAACTTCAATTGAAATTGTTGGTAAAAAATATTAAAAAGCAAAAAAGAAGAGTACAGGAACAAAAAAAAACAGTATAGGCGAAAAATAAATAAATATGCGCGACTATATATTGTTAAAAACGGGAATGAAGCCGGAAATTAGTTGTGAATCATTAATAAACTTGACGCAATACAATTTAAGAAAAGTATGAAAAAGAAAACAAAAGTTACAATAATATTTAAATTGAAGTATACACCCAATTTATTCATTCACTTTATTTAGAATAGATTCACTATATAATATACGCGAAATAGATCATAAGCAGAACAAAGATATATGACGACTAAATAATGTTATAAACATTTTGTAAAGTAAATATGTAAGTATATTTTTGTATAGATTTTACTACATCTAAGTACATTTGAGGCAATAAAAATAAATACCAATAAATTAATGAAACATATTTTTTTAGGTGTGCAACTCTAACAAGCCTGACTCTCCCTTATGAAGTAGAAGATGGCATTTACAGCTAAAACATTCAAACCAGTTGGTCTAATATCATTTCTACTAAAAAAGATGGAAAAACTTTTAACCTTATTGCAACGACTTTTCTTCAAAAAATGTTTGAGAATGTGGATATAACTGTTGGAGCTATTTGCCCAGTATAGTGATACTGAATAGCGGTTAAATACGAGAACATTTTTTGCGAGATTCTCTGGAGTGGTTTGTGAGTAACGCAAGATTGATGTGCCGTAATAATGCTTAAACTAAGTGCAAGTAAAGCTACTGTAGCACTTTTAACTAAAAGTATTAAGCTTGAGCAATTATCATCTGTTATTTACTGCTATAAATTGAATGCAGTAAATATACATACATTCGGTGTTATTACATTTGGTCTTATGAATAGAACAAAACATTTATTTTTTTGGCTTGTAGTGTATTCAAAAAAATTATATTTAATTACATAAAAATTAAAAATAAAAAAAAAAGTAATAAAAATAAAAAACAAAATACAAATAATGGGAAACTGATGTCACACAGTATTCTAATATTTTTTTTCGTTTGAATATTAATTGGAACAGATTAACAACAAAAAAGTTGACATTTAATGTTGTGTCAAATAGGTTGTTATGATGCAAATAAAAATTTGCAAATTTTTATTTTTGAACAAAATATAACAAATTTATAGCATTGTGTGTAGTTTTATGAAAGAGAAAAATATTTGTGAAATGAAAATCGTGAAATTAAAGATGATATGTTCTGAAAAAATTAAATAGATAAACTGAAAATGCCAAATTTTTATAATGTCAAAGATGAAATTTTTTTTTCGATGAAATAGAACATAATATTTATTGAAGAAAATTTTTGAATTCATAATAAGAAAATTAAAGTTGGGAAAATTTTCATATTTTTTAATGCAAGCAAATATGATTTTTCTTATTAACTTGAAGATAAGTGTTAAGCTTTACTTAAACTAGAGAATAATTCTGATGGAAATTTGAATTCATATTTACAAAACAACGGCAAATCTGATTAAAGGAATATAAACGAAATTATAGAGTCGAAAAATTCGAGAAAACGCAGTTGTTATACTTTCAGTTATAACTGAACTATAGCGCGACACCGTAATTGCACAATGGTTAGATCTAAATTTATTTGTTTTTTCCAATACTTTAATAAACAGTAAATAAATATAGTATCCCCTATATTTTATAAGCTGGAAGAAAGCTGGACCAGCTTTCACACACACAATTCATTTGATAAATCGGAGGTCAAATATATAGCTGGGAGTGATATTTGATTTCAAGCTTCTTTGGCGAAGGTTGGCGCAATTATGGTGTGCACGGCTATCACGGGCAGGTCGTGGGGTTGCTCCCTGTCCGTCATGTTGGGAATGTATACCATGATGGTGGTGCCACTCCTAATTTATCGAGCAGTGGAAACAGAAGGGATCATCATTACAACTTACCGCGCTACTGAGTCAGATCACACATCATCAGATGGTACGCTGATAGGTTAAAGACCAATACGGGAACGAGCACGAGGGTGTTTAGATCAAGAACCAAATTCTTCGAACCTATGTGATCATTTCCGAGCGTGTTTCAGGCTGAGATGCACACTATTGAATTGTGCACGCAGTTCGGCCTGGAAAAAGAATATCAGGGGCAAAAGATAGTGTTTACGTCGGACAACCGGACTGCCATCGGACCGCTAAACTTGTTTTCGGTATAATTCGCGGCAATATGGAGCTGTCTTGAGAAACTCAATGAATTACGCAGGTTATATGGGCGTAGAAGGAAATGAGGCAGACGACGCGCTGGCAAGGAGTAGGGCTAATACACCCCTCCTTGGTCTGGAGCCCTTTTGTGCAATCGGAACACATACTTCGAACTAAGAAATGATTTTCGCTGGGAACTAGGAGGAAATCAGCGAGAAGGCGGTCGAAGCATTTCGGGATTGCAAAGGGTCAAAGAGCTTCTGGGAGATTATGATCAGAAGCTACCTAAGATTATGCGGCTAGGCAAAAATCAGATGAGAATCATCATCGTGGTCTTGTCGGGGTACTGCATACTTAAAGGGCAGGTTGGACTTCGAAAATGGTGGCGGAGTTGTGGTCTTCGGGGCCTCAGAAAGTGCTCGAGTTCATTAGATGGATGGGTCTCAAGTTCAATAGATCTTTATACGTTTTCGATCATAAAGTTTTTATTTCAAAGCTGATATCGTGTTATATCGCCTTCGAACATAGATGCATTCTATTTTATTCATACAACCACATTAAAAATCTTATTTATTAACTAAAATTTTGAGAATATATTATCGTACTAAATGAATGTGTGAGTATTGCAAAATATAAAATTCTAATGGAGTTGCATCAAACGAATGGTTTGTATAGTAGCACTTTTCCCTTGAAAAGTGAATATACTACTAGTCAGTCTAGGACATTATTTAAATTACGTTTATTTATATACCAAAATACGATTAATTTTAGCAGCCACACTGTCTTTTCGATATTCAAACATCCCGCAGTAGAGGAAGTATTCTGTCACTTTCCGCGTTTGCGGAATTTAAAAAAAAATAGTCGTTTCATTAAAATAAATGGCCAAAAAAAATATATAGACGGGCGGATAAACAGAGTGTAACTGAGAATACCTCTCTTTCAATATTTTGTTTTTAGGAAACGTGCTAAAAATATAAGAAGCCAAAAAAAAATCTTTTTTGTAAAGTAAACAACAATATTTTAACAATATGAACAACAATAATTAAAGGCAAATAAATATCGGAGAGAAATAGCAATAATGATTACAACAACAAAATTTATTTGTACCTTTTTTTTTATTTTCTACATGACTGACATCTATATTTATTTATATGCAGTATGTAGTACGTAAGTAATGGGATATGTATGTATGCAGGTTTTTTTTTAATAATAAATTTTACCTTAAAACAATAACTAGTTTCTTCACCATCCCAAATAGTCCTTGGTAAAGGAAATTTACGTCGAACTCTATATTTACCAACAGCACCTAAGGGTCTTCCACGAAGTTTTTCGGCTTCAACATAATGCGCTACATATAAAATAAAATTTTATAAAAAAAAACAAGAAAAAAACAGTAGATTATTATAAAATGTTATATTATGTAAATTTGTAAGTATGTGTATGTAGGAATAATTATAGAAAAGAGAAAATAAAATAAGAATTAATAATAATAATAAAATAACAATACATACATTTGTATGTTGATTGCAAATGCATGTGTGTATATGTATGAATTAATATGTAAAATTAAGGATATTGTTTATAAGGCTTTATTTGTTTTTTGTAAAAAGTATCACTTTTTTCCTCTTGTACTTACTTATTCTTTATTTTTTTTCTTATATATGGTTTTGGAAGTTCTAAAGAGCTAGAAAACAATTATATAATTGCAAAAAAAAACTTTTTATAATATTTTTATGTAGAAGAGGTGAGGCAATAAAAGCGAATGTAAAAAATAAGTGAGCGAAAAAAAGAAGAAAAGTTGCTTAAGAATGGGGAGTTTTTAAACGAATTACACCGTACCGCGGGAAAAGGATAAAAAAAATTAACTCAAATGTAAAAATTTATTTTGAACAGTGAAAGGGAAAAAAATTGTCTCTTTTATGTTTAAACAGGTGTATTAAAATACTTATTATTTTACCTGTAATCCTCAATTTTTTTGCTGTTCTATCTTTTTGCTTATTATTTTAATTTAAAATAATTACTTTGAAGGTAAATTAAATTTCAAAAGTACAAGAACATTAAAAATAATTCTTTTATTCTTTTATTTCAAGTTATTTATTGTTTAAGAATTAAAAATTAAACAATTGAAAAAAAATAATAAAAATGGAAAAAAATTTTCTTACCTTTTAACCATAAATTTTGTAATTTTGCATGGTTGTGAGGTGAAAAATGATGATGTTCTAATAATCTATATAATTCTTTATATTGACCACGATGAAATGCAACTACAGCTTTTGCTTTTAATACAGATTCATTTAATTGTAATTTATCACATTGTGGTAATGACCATAAAAATCGACCTAATCTTTCAATATTGCCAGCTTGTTGTAATACCTTGAAGTAATAATACAAAAACAAAAAGAAAAAAATTATGGTGAGTATAAAAAATAGAGGAAAACTTCTAAAAAATAAAATTTTAATTTTTTTTTTAGGAATTTATTAAATTTAAATTAAACACCAACTATGAACTGGAAGCACGGCCATTTTAAACGAGAATGTCATAAAAATAGGCAAAGCATACTGAATTTTATGCAAAGTAATTTTGAAAGATTGCGGTGCTTCTTGTAGGCCTACTCATATGTTTGAACATAATATAATGTCATTTATATAGCAAATTACCCCGTTTAAATGGCAGCTTCAGGCGTACTTGAAACCGGCTTCACACAAGTCAACCGAGAAATTTTGCTTACTAAAAACGTACTAAAGCTGCCATATTTAAACGAGGTAAATGTCGATAGTTTTAAATGTTGACAACCATTTAACATAATTTTTGACAACCAATCAAGATTTGACATTTTCAAATGTCAAAATTATTATGCAGTTAATTTTTATTTTTAACTAAAATATAATTGAAATCTCAATATTTCTGCTAATATTTATTCAATTGCAACTAAATTTAAGATTCAAAATAATATTAAATATGAATTTAATTGTGTTCATAAATACTATAGCCTATATATTATTACCTATAGTTAGGAGTTATTAATGTCTAATTAAATAAATTACTATAAATATTCAATTAAATATGCACTAGTGTTGGTTCAATTTCAAAATTTTACTTAAATTACAACTTAAGTGTGGAAAAATTTTACACTTTTATTATATACAAAAGGTATTGTAATTTAAGAACCATTTAAGTGGTTAAGTTTTGACAGTTTAACTACACAGTTAAAATATGTATATATGACATTACATAAATATAGTTAATTATGCATGCATTCACTTTATAATTATTATTATATAATATTTATAGAATAAATTCTATATTAGAAGAAAGAAGAAAATATCGGAAAGAACTTATTTATGGTATACAAGTATCACTTATTGTAATTTATCTAAATACCAAAAATAATTCTTGAACTAATAGACACACTTAATATATTTGCAATGAAGTAGATGTAGATATCTAGTATGTACATATATATGAGAATGTACATATACTTATATGAAAAACAGAATATAAAATGACATCATTAAAGTTATGCTTAAAAGCATTTGATAATAAAAATGGCTATTAATTTTTGAAGGTCGGCAATAAATAATAATGAAATCAATCCTTAAAATTAATTGTATTGTTAAATATGGCAGTGTTCTTTGAAGAAATAGTTTTTTTTATGTCAAATAATTTTAAGTTCGCTTTCAAGTTCTCAATATTAATAAAACTAAATATTATATAATTGTCAGCCTCTCCGAAATTGATATATTTGTCAGTGTGTCCGAAAATCGATATGACTTTGACAACACTTTAATACATTCAAATAACAAAAATAACAATGCATTCATAAACTTGTCTGCTTGCCAATCGTGAACGAATTTTTGTGCAATCGTGAATGTTCATATGTCTGTCAGCAGCATTTAATATTTACAATATTGACATTTCTTGAGCAGCATTATTAATATTGAATATTTCTGTCAATAGTATTAGGCATCTACCTAAATAGACATGAAATTTTGAAAAAAAAAACTAATTAACTAAAGTCAAATATTTCAATTCGAATAACGAATCGATTATTTTAGAAAAGATTCGATTGAATCCGATTCCGAATGTTTCGTTTCGGAAACACTGCACATGAAGTGTCAATTAAATATGAAAAATCAAACAAGCAAAGAAATTACCTACTATTTTAAAACGCAATATGAAATAAAAGAATTGAAATACGAATTAACATTTATATAAATAGAATAAAATAATTACCTCACATACACATGCCACCTGTTCTTGTGTAAAACCAAAACTTGGTAATGATTCTCTACTCCCATTTGACGTTCCATTACCAAGTGATGTTGCTGTTGTTGTACCATTTAATATATCCAGCCCGCTGGATGTATTATTATTATTAGTACTACTATTATTATTATTATTATGATGTGCTGAACTAAGTCCAGTTGGACTATATGGGGGCGTTTGACGGCTGCTAACTGTTGATAAATCATAAAAATCTGCAGGGTGTTGTAACATTTTTGTTTTCTTAATTTTTTTCTGCTTTTGATATTTTTATTTTTTTTTATTATAAGTATAGAATAAATATTTTTTTTAAAGAAAAAATAATAATTTTATTTTATTTTAGAATTAAATATTAAATGAATATCACAATATAATTTTTATAATATTTTTATATAATTTGGATATTTTTTTAAATATTAAACAAAAAAAATAAAAAAAAAATAGAAATCACCAAAAAAATTTTTTAATTAATTTTCACTTGATAAACATCACTTTTCTTCCCTATAATTTTTTTTTTAAATAAAATTTTTCTTTTGAGCTTCTTTTACAATTTTTAAAATTTGAAATTTAATGTGGAATTTTTTTTTGTAATTTCCTTACATTTTTATTTTTAATAATTTGTTTATGAAATTTTTTATATATTTTTTGATTTTTTTTAAAGGAATTATGTTCGAATCCTTTGCACTTTAATGTTTTTTATTGCACTTACAGCAGAATTATTATTTTGAAGAATTGGAGCAAATCTGAAATTACAAAAAAAAAATTTAGAAATTATTCAAATTTGATTTTTTTTTAATGAAAATTAAAGCAAAAAATTGATAATAAATCTTTGAGTTTTTATTTTGAAAGTAATTTTTATTTTGATTTTGATTTTAATATTTTTAATATTTTTTGTGAATATTATTTGAAATGTCAAAACAAAATACGAAATTTACGAATAAACATTTACCGTTCACTCTTTGTAATTTGGAAAATTTTGAAAATTCGAAATGAAAAACAAAGAAAATTCTTACATCGATTGAAATGTGACAATTGTTGTTGCAAATTGATTTGACATAATAAAAAATATTGATCAAGGTTGAGAAGAAAAGTTCCTCTCTGTGGAAGGCCTTTCTACATTTGCATTCTTAATATTATATTGCGTTAGTTGTTACTTTAAGTGTGTAAGAAAATATTTTAATTTGAAGTTATTTTTTTCGGGAAGTAAACAACAAACATCATCTGACAGCAATGTTCTGGTCTTTTGTATGAATATTAGTGAATTAACAACAGAGAATAAAAAAATATTTCGTGAGTCTTTGTTTAACACTATGTAAAGCTTTTGCGTCAAAAAAGTGTCTTATTTCGAGATAAAAATTTTTTTAGTTCAAATTTTGTAACAATATCTTTGAAATGACAGATTAACATTACACGGACGTGAAAACGTATTCAGCCTCAGAAAGTACACCTTCAAGTTTTTGATGTTATAATTTATTGTAACATACATGTGTTTCTATAAAATTTTTATAATAAATAATCAAAGAGAAAAAAAGTACAAAAATATAATAAAAGCATTTGACCTTTAAAATTATTCAGAATAAATTTTACATATACATACACTCGATCACACACAATACACCCAAAACACACGTAACCATCTAAATATATTTTCTAATGTATATGAAAAGAGATCGTAAAATGTTGATTGTCATAATAATTATCGTAATAATTAACATTAAATAAAAATATTTTTCATAGATCGTATTGCCTTAAAAGATCCAAGGATCAAAAGATTTTCCATACACATACATATAGATGCATACACAAATACTATAGAAGAGTTTTTATTATTTATGCATGTGGATATTTTAAACTTTGTTGCAAAAATTATGAACTGTAATTTTATAATAATTAGAGCATCGCGCGCATGTAAGCTCAAAAACAAATTGAAAAACGTAAATAATATTTTTTTTGTGATATTTGTTCTTTAAATTTTTTATTAAAATAATTTATTTAAATTAATGTCAATTTGATTTGAAAATTTCGATTTAAAATGACCGTATCTTTGAAACTCAAGAAAATTTCAAATTATTTAAAAATTAAGATAAATATTTTTAATATTTTAAATAAAAATTAATATTACCTATCACTTCATAAATTGAGCGTGCATAGAGTAATAGAGAATATAAAGTATAAAACCATTCGCGTTGCGAGAACGCTATGAGTAAGGTTTGGAAATTTTACGTTAATAAACGTTAATTGGTGGGTTCCACTGGTTCCAAGCTCGTAGTCTCTCAGACTTCCGAATTTGTATTTAGTCTGGGCGAGTGCACATTACAAATAGCTCGTAAGTATTTATTTTGCATTGTTTGCAGCTTATCTATGTCGCTTTTTTCTTACGAGCCAGGTCTCATTCTCATATATAGTAGAACCGATTTAACGCAGTCATTAAAAGCTCTCAACTATGCTGATTTCCAGTTCTTCCAAAGTCTCCTAAATGCTTTGATGCAAATTATTTGTATTTCACAAAGTTTCGTTGTCATGTCTTCGAATGTATGAAACAGTAGGGCTATGCTGTCCACGCAATTAAATTCTAAGTTATTCATAAGAAACCACTGTATACTTATTGGGAACGTTATTGAAGAGTATGGGCGAATGTGGATATCCCTACCTGACAATGAGTCGACAATATATTTGATATGAGAATATTATTTATACTATATATGCATTACATATATACTGAACGGGATCTCATAAAACTTTGACCCTTATAATCATTAAGAAATAAATAAAAATAAAAATTATTAAATAAATTATAAAATGATTTTAGATCGCCGGAAATTTAAGTATATCATTTATAATTAAAATAAAATTTATTCAAATATTATTATTGAAAATAATTAATTATATATTTTACATATTTCACTTCACATATACTTGGATTGCATGTAAAGTTTATGAAAAATTAAATAATTAATTAAAATAATATGAAAATATAAACATTTATTAAATAATTTTTATAATAATTTATTTAATTATTTTTATTTTTTATGATATAATTATTCATTTAATTATTTATTAATCATATAATTTAGTAATTTTTTTCCGATCGATCAATTGTGACACTCATATTAATGTATTTAAATTAGATCCTACATGGAAGCAGGAGAATTTAAATTTATTAGGAAAAACTGATTTCTAGAATACGAGCTTATACTTTCTAAAATCTTACGTGAAATTATATATATATGTACGTATGTATATAGCCACTTTAATTTTCTCGGTAATTTTCATACCAATATTATTAACATATTGGCATTAAATTCTTGTATATATATTTATATATATGTATGTAAAATTGTAATTATTGGCTTTTTGCCATTAAATAAAAATTTATTAAATTTTGCTTCAGAAAATTTCTTAATAAATATAATTATATTATGTATCTAAGTAAATTTCAAATGAATATTGATTGGCTTTAATTTTCTTAATTAAATTGCTTTTCAAAATAATAATAAAATTAAAAATGTTAAATAACTAAACTATTAAAAGTCAAATTAAAAGTTCAAAATGTAAAAATATTGTGTGGTTAAGAGTTTAATTTAGTTCAATAAAATTAAGAAATATTGGAAAACCTCTTGCCTTTGTTAAATAAAGCACACAATAGTTATTTATTATATCTTCTAATGTTTACAGATTAATTTGCACTAAGTAAAATGAGCTTATAAGTTAGAGATCGGAAAATTAGAACTTGCGTTTTAAGATGAAAAAAGTCTATTTACTACATATCATATGGAAAAATAGAACTTAAAAGCAGAAGAAAGCTTCATATACTGGATACAGTAGTCAAAAATGGTTGTCCGATTGAACAGGACAAAATGAGCACGTGGTACAGAACAAATTATTGGAGGAACAAAGAACAATATGGGCATCTTTGACTTATGATCACAGTTTAATGAATTTGATAAGAAAGCAATTAAAAAAAAATAATATCCGAATGTCATAAATCGGTAATAAATATCAACTAAGATACTAAGAAGCTTATTAAATTCAGCCAAGGATAAATTGAAAATACATGTGAGATGTGGTATATATAAAATCAAATGCAATGATTGCGGGCAAATATTACATAGGACAAACGAGGGGACCAATTAAAAGTCTAAAGGAATATTTAAGTGAGGTAAAACGCGCAAGGAAACTAAGCCCTAAGAGAAATTTCAATTCAATGGTTGTGAAACATATTTACGAAATGGATCACAAAAATTACGGAGGAAAACTCAAAGTTTATAAAAGGTTACAAATCTAACAAGGACACCTACTGAACATGGATGAAGTAGGTGGTTATGTTTATTACTAGAAGTACTATTCGAAATTAATTACAAATCTTCATCGAATATATTTAAAGATTTTCATTACTCTTACTTATATATTTACGCCATTTTCTTAATTGTTTAGTAAGTCGCATTTAATTTATAAAAAAATATGATAAAATTTAATTTCATAGTGATTTTATTTAAAATTTAGAACGATTTGATTAAGAAAACCACAAAAACAATTTCTTTCTTAAGTGGTCAACCCAAATTTTGTGATATTCTCTTTCAAATATAATATGGTTTTTCATTTCTAAATAGATTTTTTTATTTGAAATAATTGTATTTTATATTTAAGATGAACGCATATTTTGTTTAGATTTTCAATTTAACTAAAAGTATTTGGAATGAATTATATATTTTGAATGTATAGATTAATGTGCTCTATAAATATTTCGGGGGTTACATTTTTGTTTTCTGTTTCTTTTTTGTGTATTTTCCACATTTTGAAAAATTAACTTTGTATATTATATACGATTAAGGTAACCGACTATGTGCAATAATTGTGAATGAAATAATTTATTTTATTATTATTGCTTCGAAACTGGATTCAGTAAAGTCAACCTCTACCAATTAAGCTACAATGAAATAAAAAAATTATCAGCGATTAGCAGCCTGCTAGACCTTGCCTGCTTTAAGTATAATTACATATATCAACATACATAATGTATTGTTTGAATCAATTTCTTGATCATCATTGAAACGGTAGCCTGATTACTCTTTTTAGACACTTAAGAAACGAAATTCTTATATTTTTAATTGGGTTTTCTCATTTTTCCTGGATTATTCTTTCTTTTCTTCTTCACTCCTGGGAGGAATAGAGGGCTTGTGCATGATATCATAGTCATATTCGTAGTTTCACTACGTCATAGAGTTTTTTTAACTAGGTTGGTGACTAGCCTGCCGTAGTTTCTTCTTTATATTAAATATTTAAGGTTCTAAGTATCTTATTGTTTATTTTTCTTAGTTTTTTTTTTAATATCGAATATTATGAATATATGAAAATTACTTGTATAAGTATCATATTTATAAATATTTTATATTAAGTTATAATATTGAATATAATTTTAATGATGACCGGGGTTTGAACCACAGGTCCTTCGGTTAAAAGACTGGTGCCACAACCACTGCACCAATGGTCATTTTCCTAAATTATAGTCACCTTCAAAAACAAAGTGACTAGGATGATCACCAGATTTTGCATATTTTTGGAATATGGTGAGTAAAAAAATACATAATCTGAGTTCGGTTCCGGATGCAAACGTTTGCACCGTCTCTTAAGAAAAATTACCAAGAGGCTAGAAGTCACTACAACGGACGTCTGTCGGCGATGTCAGGATATTGTAGAGGTAGAGGACTTGGAACATTCATTTTGTACCTATCTGCGTCTAATG